ATATCGTTTCGATCGATATGAATCGATGGATAAATAGATAAAGAAGAACATGAATTGATCGACAGTGACTTAATTGACGCGCGTGAATCGCTCGAATTTTTGCTTATCGTTGGTTGAATCGGTGTCACTTGAGTCGCTGTCAATCGATTCACGTTTTGTTTTTTTCTTTTTTGGTTTGTTTGTTTGTTTGTTTGTTTTTTTTTTTTTTTTTGATCATTCATGCCGATCGAAATGAAACTCATCTTAATATCTCCGTTTAGTAGTTTTCTAAAAATTGAAGGGAGGGGAATTTACTTTCCCCAAGTCAAGGATCATTTCGAAATCTTGATCTTGGCAATATTCGATCAATTCTCGACCTGATGTACAAAATCCGAACGTAGAGAGGCTTTTATTTTCAGGCCTCTGCAGCCGCACTTTGTTGGCTCGTACCTTTAGTCATCAGTGATTGCCATCCAAAAGGAATACGAATACACTTTAGCAAGCTTTTGCGAGTGGAAAATTCCGCTCGTGAATCGGTGACGTCTTTTGCATGTCTAGCTCATTGCTCGCGTGTGCACGTTTTTGGAAAAAAAGGGCTGAAAAAAATGTAAAATGGTTTAAAATTTTCTGCAGGTGGAGGGTCTGTACCAGACTCGTTTCCACGAGCCAGCTTACAGCTGAAACTAGTACCGACTAGTTTTCAATGTATTTATCGTTTTTATGTTTAGTATGACATTTTCAAGCATTACAAATTATTTTTCAAGTTGAAAATAAAGGCAAATCATACTTTTAAATAATCATCGTTCCAATAATTCAACAATCTATTATCAATGTCCAAGTTGCTGATCAAAAGTTCATTAAAAAAATAATTTCAATTGGGACTGTACCTGAAAAAATGTATAGTCATTGAAAATGACTATACATGAAAAAATGTATAGTCATTTTCAATGACTATACATTTTTTCAGGTACAGGTCTACAGTGCCGGATTAAGGGGGTGGCCACATGGGCCGCGGCCTATGGCGGCAAATCTATAGGGAGCGGCAAATTTTGCAATTTTTTTAAATGCAGGTATAAAAAAATCGTATTTAGAAAAAAAAATTACTAACGAGAGAAGGCGACATTATCTCTCATTTCCTGAGAGTATAATAATTTCTTATTTTGTCGTCTTTCAGAGATACAAGAGACAGTACCTTTAATTATTCAAGTTAAGAGAGAAACCAAATAGTTAAAACACGCAATTTGGCCCGGAACGGCGTGACTTAGACAGAAATGATGAAAAGGACTTGAGATGAAACGGAGAAGCCCTCGGCCTGGCGATCGGCATGTAACACATATTAGCGCCTACAAGACTGCACGAATACTTCATGCATTGCATCAAACGGAGTGCGGTCATTGCGGTCAGCGTAAAACGGATAGCGCCTACAAGACTGCGTGAATACTTCACGCATGGCGTCAATCACAGTGCGTTTAGCAGCGGTCGGCGTGAAACTCGCAGCGCCTACAAGACTGTCGGAATACTTCACGCATTGCGCCAAACACGGTGCGGTCAGCGCGGCGCGGCGGCGGAAGTTAAAATCATTAATCCACATTTATGTTTGTTCTTTCATAATTTTTTCGTTCATTTCTTATGAATGGAAGGCCTGCCTTGTCCGCAGAGATAGGTTTACGTAACTTAACTTTCGCACAAAGTTCCCTGAACTTTTGCTAGTAGTGTTGACAGGGCTTTCGCAAAAAATGTGTCCAACGCGAGTAAACGCGTCTTGTGCACCCCTCCCCCGCTGGCACGTTCATTTGATGGTTTTTATTGATGTTTCAAAACGAATGAGAAGGGGGCGGCAAAATACAGGCGGCCCATGGGCGGCAAGTAGGTAAATCCGGCCCTGGTCATTTTTTCTCACTAGCTCAAAAATATCCCGATTTCTCTTTCGACTGAAAAGAAGTTCAAAATTGATTGCTCGATAGAGTGCATTAGAATAGAAAACAATCTTTTCCGATTTTAAATAGATTTATGGGTTTGGTTTTGGAATATGGGTAATTGTTCAATCGCTATGAACAGAGCACTGTTACTGAATTGAGAGTTTACTGGCATCTAATCTAATTAAAGAATTAGGTACTTCCCTTTTCCGATAACCTTCTGCTCCAGAAGCTAATCGTTATTTCATGTGTGACGAAAGGCACGCAATCAGATAGTGCGCTTTAATATGAATAAAATATGAACAGGTTACAAAGTAATTAGGAATAAATGTAAGATTCTTTCGATGCTGAAAAAAAAAGTTTTCAATATTATCTCGTTTACTTAATGGTCGCTTAGGGGGAAAAGGAACCCAGTCCAAGGAAAGTCATGATTGAGTTATTAACAACAGAGCATAGAGGAGTGTTCTACAAATATCTTGACATCAGAGCACCCAAAAATTCCAAATCATAACTAAAGTTCTAGTGATTTGAAATTTGAAATTTTAAAAAAATTTATTTTCCAGAAGAAAGCGTTAACAATTCTAACCTGTCATTCTCTGATTGCAATGTAACTGTACGTTATTTATTGGCACAGGAATGAACTAAACAGTTCGCAGGTAATTCTGTAGGGAACTTGAGCATTGTCAGTTGAAATCTCAAAATCCGATACCTGTTATTTATTACCCCGATCGGACGTAAATTATGAATCAGCACCTTTAAAAAGGTAGAAGTCCAATAGTTTCAAAATCGACCCTATTATCAACTCGTACAATTTCAATTAAATCATCAGCACAAAAAATGTCAACATTGAATAGACAAAATGAAAGGTTAAATCCATCAAGTGCCTCGAAAGAACCTTTAATTTCTGCGAAATTCAGATGTACCTAGCATTTAAGCCTTCTACCCACGCACACGCTGTGCTGCTCACTCGGCTCAGCGATGGATCTGCGAGTCAGAGACTGTAATATTTGAAACTATGTAGTTTATGAAATGTACCTACGGTCGAGTAACCTCTCGTTTTATGCTTTGTCAAGGGGAAAATTGCGGAGTCTGCATTTCAAGGGAGATGCACTCCTCCAAGTTCTAGGTTCTAGATGAAATACATACACTCGCATCAGATTCGCTCACATGTCCCTTGTTGGATGTATGGAAACTCGTCAGCAGCATTCAAAAACTAGTCCCAGCTGCGTTTTGAAAGCGGAGCCATTGGCGGATCCAGCGAATTGGCAACATTGTCTTTTCTCCATTTAAACCTATAGAAAAGTATCGATTCTTGAAGGGGCCAGGTGCTCCGAAAAGAGTCGATTATTTAGCATAGGGTTAGATGGAGGAAATCCGATGTTGCCATATTGCTGGATCCGCCTCATAGCGGAGCTCCCTCATGAAGCTTTCCAACATCCCTGATTTATCCGTATCAGTGTTACATGTAGAGTGGCTGAAAATTTACTAAAGTCGATGGAATACCGTACAAGATGCCAACAATCACTACACTTATTCTAAGAACTACGACTTTGTAGTTGAAGGGGTAAAAGCCAGGGGGGCTGAACAACTTAACAACGTTATGCGAAGTTAGATTTTAAAATCTATTCATTCGCTGGAGAACGGTTACAATAAATTTCCGTGAATTTGTTTTGTGATTCTGACATACCACCGTCAATGAATGAAAAAATACGTGATCATGTGAAACTTGGAAACGTCGTAATGCAGTTAAGCCCCTTAGGCTCTAAGTCCTACTCCTTCACTTCGAAAATTTCAGAGGGTTCAATTTACGGCACGAGGAACAATCAGAATACAATTTTTAGGTGCAATTTCAGCCGTATAATTTTTCCAGTGTTTCCATTCTTTTGAATCTTATTTGGCTTAAGAAGGCTCACTGTATAAAATGTGATTTTCTTCTAATTTCGTGATTTTTCCTGGTTCTGATTTTAAACATTCTAACCGCGCGCAGAATTTCTCTTAAAAACTCCGATTGTCGAAGCGAAGATAAACCGTAATCAAGCCCGATAAAATCCAGGAGGAAATCAAAACAAAAAATTGAATTGCCGAAACAATCTTCAAATTAGCTAAACCGATTATTCTCCAATTAACATCAGTTCTGCTTTCAAAACTTCGGCAAACAAAGTGAAAAGAGTATTACTCTTTCTACCGACGATCATTAAGAGCATTTTGATAAAGCTTTTCTCCATCCGTTCATCTGAATCCTGGACGTATTGGGCCCTCAAAAGGACATAGAAAATTCTGTTATCGGCGCACAGATGCGATTCGTTCTCCCTCAGAATTTTGCGTAAAATGAACGGCACAACTTGAATGGTCATAAATTTTACCTCGTGACGTAACTGACTTAGCACAGCTGTGTTCGGACACAGATGCGCCCCTAAGCCCTGACACTGACTGTCCGAACCTTCTCCAACTTATTTTCCTTCCAAAAATAATGCCAACCCATAAAAACCCATTTAACCGACATCAGTAATGGGCTCCACGGGCACGGGGGCCTGCCAAGTATTACGTATAAGTTGCTTAAGGGGGCTTGAGCTCGTCTTACAAGGTTTTTTAAGGGGGGGGGGGGGTTTAACCTAGTCTTAAGTAAGCTACTTTTCTTTTTAAAAGAAAAATGAAATTTTTAAATCAAAATTTTTAAAAACAGCTATTTTTCAGCCTCTCTCCGTTGATTTCTAAAAAAAACTTAAAAGGGGAACGTAATTAATGAGAGAGGGGGAGCAGTGGCAACTTTGCAAGTTGGAAATATCGATTTTAGATGAAGGAGCTGCCTCACCAAAGTTCGATTATTTTACATACATTTAAATGGATGAACAACAGTATTGTTCCTTCATTTAAATCCATTGAAAATATCGATTTCAGATAAAGTGAGCTGCCTCACCAAGGATCGATTATTTTACATACATTTACATGGAGGAATAACAGTGTTGTCAACTTTCGAGAATCGCCACTGAGTGGGAGAGCGGTTGTCTGGCGAGAATCAAAAAGTCAGAAAAAATGCCGTGCATGATACATAGACTTATTTTTCAATAAATTTCACCTTGTTTTTTTCTGATTTTTCTGTTCCAGTAGTTACAACCAGTTTCAATTTCAAATATCCACCCGATTTCCCGTTCATATCCGGGAAAGAAGCGGAAGTTGACGAGGATGGGGACCTCCTTGTGTGTCGTCGGCCCGTACAAGGCGTCATAAAAATAGGTGCGTAATCAATTTCTCGGATGCTCTATCATGGCGCTTGTTTACAAGGCTGCCACTCTAAATTTCCAAACAAATTAGACAATCTATGCTGACTTTTTTGCTGCAATTTGGCAATTGCGCACAAACGCTGAATCTTGTGTACCCTTCTTTCTATTTTTTATAGGTATGTTTGCCTGCATATATTCTGCAACGTTGATGATCGTGCGTTCCCAGATTTCCGCTTGTTTATTGCGTGTGATTTCATTGAAATGCCTAATTACATGTTCGGTCGTTTCCAGTGGAGCCAACATAAAACTAGACTAATTAAGGATACCTAAATAAAAAAAATTCTCGCAAGGAAAAGAGGAAGGAATATAAATGCTGACAGCCATTGAAAAGCAAGACGCAACATAGACTTTATACCTAAACATCGAGTAAGTTGGAACAGCGTTGGAGAAGAATTACAGATCACAGTAATGGGAAGGACTCCTAGAAAAATTCATTTTCTTTATTGGTAAATTGAAGCTTTTTGTATCGTTTAAGAACTACATATCGCTGAAAAATCAGAAGAAACTACGTATATGTATCTTGATTGGGCAGTTTCCTCATTTCCGCCATTATCTCATATTTACAACGGAATATTCCCCAATATTTTTATTTTACCGTTTCAAATAGTATTTTTGAAGGGCTCAAAAACAAACCACAGGAAACACGCGTGAAGACGAAAATCGGACATCCCTCAAAAAATCATAATCAGGTCAGGGTGTTAAATTGTCAAAAGCTGAGATCCGTTTTTTTCTTGATTCGCCATCAATGTTTAACATGTCTTAAAGCAGCCCTTAAATTCAAAACCAAAGTCATGCGTAAAGACTTCATTAAAACCATTCAATGTCAGTTTCCCTTTAATTTTTTTCTTAATGAATTCTTTGAAATCGCTCCTCTCTCTCACCTCTACCTAAACTCTATTTGCGCTAATTATTCAATTTTTAAAAGAAAAATTGAACATTTTGTGACACCTCCCGTCTCCGAATTCAAAATTTTTCTTCGCATCGAACTTTCCGTCGCTTTTGCCATCGGAACAACTGTGACTAATTTTATTGACGCGTCTTCTCTACACTCTCTAAAATGAGATGAAAAAAAAAGAGAGAAAAAACAGACAATTTTGCCCCCAAAAATTCGGTATGAACTCTTCCTGTATAGGTGAGGTATGAGTCTCAAGCTATTCGATTCCATGTGACTAGTTCACTGGGTTCGACCAGCAGAGTGTAAGCCGCCAATATGATGCCATCGTGTTATTGAGGCTCTATTTACACATGTCAGTTATTGTGCCGCAGCTTTATTTTTTGAATTATGGTCGCGTGAATGGATACCAACATCAATGAAATCCTTTTTATTCTTACCAATACCGCATCATTCGAACCGTGCCCCGTCGAAGAAATATGACCCAATTCAGGGCCAGGCAAACTGGGAAAAGGCGGCTAGGAGTGGAAATAGTTACGGAGAAATCTCAGCCAGTGTATAAGCAAAGAGGATTCTAGTTAAAAAGGAGGAAAGATTTTCTCATCGTCGAAGGAAACCGCTTCGGCCAAAAGTAACATTTTCATGTTGTGTTCTATCAAGTTCACGTGTGATGTGATTTGTGGAAAAGGTCCCTGCGTAATTTGAACCCGAACAAGAGGGTGAAAATGAAGCATATTGATTATGAGAATAAAACTAGGGAAGAGGAGATTGATGAGGGAAAAAATGCAATTTGATTGCAGAGCTTCAAAATCTGCTCTTTTTTCCTTTAATTATTTTTAAAAAACGGGGGGGGGACTATAACTTTCTGATGAAGGAAATTTTCATGGAATATTCTTCCACTGTAGTTGGGGAAAATGATGGAAAATTTCACGAGCGGAAACTGGTTGGTCTTCCTTCATTCTTTCAAAATATGGCAGAAATTTTGCAACGTAGGAAACGTGTATACTTGGAATTGGACGGTTTTTATCAGATCCAGCCTAACTGCATTTCATCTCTAATTTCCTCTCGCCTAATTTCCTCTCGATTTGTATTTCTTTAGCAGGGAACCGAACAAAATAACGCCCCAAAATAATTTGCGTTTCTATATGCTCATACAAAAAATATACTCACAACATTTCAAATCAACATTTCTTTTGAAAAAATGAAACATTAAAGGAAGAAAATTAGGCAACGTTCAGTGTGTCCTACTATCTACTATTCATATCTTACTCGTGGGCGATTTTTTGGATCATCGGTGTTCGAAGCGCCTTCATTTATCTTGAACGCAATTTCACTTACAGAAGTGTCAGAACAAAGTTTTGTATTCGCTTTGTTTCATTTGTTTTAATTTAATTCAAAGACCTAATTTAGCAGAGAAGGAAACAGAAAGGAGAAGAGAAAATTTATTAATACAAAATTTGTACATCCCCTTTTCTAAATGATTATTCTAACATTCGCTTTAGTGTTTTACCTCCTTACTGATTGGACTGTAATGTTTAGCTCTAAATAAAGGTGGTTTTTGATCTGATGTTAAGTATCTGATCTTTATTTCAGAACATAGTCTCAGCACTCCTTTGGCAACAGTTGGCTTGCAAGTATGGCGAGGTGCTCTACTTTTAGCAGACTTTATTCTACACCATGGAATGAAGACATTCTTGGACAAAAACGTCTTAGAAGTTGGAGCCGGGATGGGATTAACAAGCATTGTAGCATCGCTTTTTGCAAAACGAGTAGTTGCAACAGGTTAGTATTTTTCTTTTTAGAATGGACGCATTTATGCTGAAAGGAGTTGTGTGGGTAGGATTTGCATTCAGCATTGCTCTTTTCAGCATACATACTTCTAAATGATGCTTGAGAGAGAAAGAGTGTGATAAAACTGCTAATTTTATCTACAAAATGATGATTTCATCGTACTTTCTTTGAATTGATGTTCTACGCAAATTTCTTCTCTTTTTTTCACAGATGTGGATATTGGTGGTATTTTAGCGCTGTTGAAGAAAAATTTTGATGCCAATAAAGCTCTCGCAAAGTCATGCATTCAAATTTTTCCATTAAATTTTTACGAAAGAAATTGGAACCTTGAGCTTGAGAAAGCAATAAAAGAATGCAATATTATCTTAGCTGCTGATGGTAAGTCTCTCCATTTGATTGTCATTATGCGTGTGCCCCCCCCCCCCCCCCCCCGTAATAATTGTATGAGACGTTTTGTATAAATAAACAGTTTCTGCCACCTGCTCGCGAAGGAGGATCTCTGCAGGCTTGACGGGGTCGCTACCACTCCTTGTAATATTAGCAAAGCAAAGCTGTTTCAAAATTCAATTCAGACTTGACTTTCCAATTTAGGTTTTCTCTGTGCCAAGCCCACGGAAGAAAATAGGAATAGATTTAAAAATCTGAATCCAGACTTAGGAAAAATATTAAGCTGAAGTTTAAGAGAGTGGCTACGAATAGCTGTTCTGGACATCTAAGAAACATTAATTCAACAAAATTGATTTTTGATAATAAGTCTAAATAACATTAGAGCTAATATTTTTAACGGTGTAAGATATTTGAAAAAATCCTGTTTGAACACTGTATCCCCTTTTCTGAGCAGCATCAGCCATTATTTTCAATCAAAAAGGCATCGGTAGTTGTTTAAAGATAGTCATCACAAATTTCTCACATGCATCAGCAGAACCGATTTTTTTCAAAGTTTTTCAGATGGCTGCATAACTTCAGGCACAACTCTTAATTCTGTTGTTAAATCAAAGTTTGGATTTCTCCCTCTCTAACCTAATGTTTTCTTCTTTTGCAGTAATCTATGATAATGATGTTACAGAAGAGTTTGTAAAATCAATCGAAAAAATGCTTTCCACTCCCAAAATACTTTACATCTGCTTGGAAAGGAGGTGAGTATTATTTAAATGTTCAAAATTGTTCAAAATTTCTAAGAAGTAAGCAATTCATTTATTTTTACTAATGAGCATAAAAGTACAAATAGAAAAGTAAGTACTCATTCCTCGAAAATTCTGAAATCCTTAAGAATTTTTTTTGAAGAATTCTGCTTTACTTAAAAAGTTTTTCTGATAAATAAGAAACAAATCAAATGGCATAAATGTTTGCACATCAAATCATAATTTTTAAAGCATAAAGGTATACATTTGATATGTAATGATACAACTGATTTGGAAGTGAGTGAAAACTAAATGTTTTCTTACAGGTATGTTTTTACGCTGGATGATTTGGACACGGTTGCTCCTTGTTATGAGCATTTCTGGAAATATTTTGATCAGATTCGAACAAAACCATCCAATAAGTCGTGGATAGTTGAACAAGTGCCCTTAGACTTCCCTCAATATTTTCAGTATGACCGAAATAAACATCTAATTTTATGGAAGATAACAAAGCCATAATGACACAAGTATTGGTAAGTATGGAAGGAATACGTGTATATTATTTATTTCATACAGAAATCCGATGACAATAATGGTGAATTTAATAAATACTACTAAAATCAATTTGAATGGTATCTTAAGAGCGAATAACAATTGATGAACCGTTGGATAAAAGCATATGACTGTAAATAAATTTTAATTTCTCAACCATTGGAAATTGAAACTGCATTTCAGTGTTTTTAGTTTCCAAAAGATAGCAAACTCATATATTTTTTTCTTATTTTTACGTCTTATTAATATGTAAAAGAAGTCGAGCAGATATATTGAGCTGTTTGGTGTACAGCTTAAATGAACATATGAGATCATATTACCCTACATTTCTGAGAAACCATTAGACCAGTGAATGAGTCATTTCTTTTTGAAATTGTGATAATAGTTGAATTTTTTAAATGAAAAAACAGTTAAACAAGAAAATGTTAGAAGAAGTGAAGTGTGGAAAATGCAAATTTTACCATTAAATTCTTTCAAAGTGGGCAGACTGTTAATAAATAGCCACAAAAACTCATGCCCCAAGGATGGTTGTTGGTGCAAAAGCAATCTTTCCGCGGAACTTGATTTTAAAAACATATAGAAGCAAGACCATCTTCTAGTATGGAAACATTTATCAATTTTACCAGTTGCTTAAACTCTACCAGAAAAGCTCAGAGATTTTTACAGCATGGAAGAGGAAATTGTCTTCCTGTGAGCCTCAAAGTTACATCCAGTGGCTGTAAACACTGATTTTTCTTGTTCTTGTAGTTGTGAATATTACTTATCAAGGATTTTCATAACTTCTGCTCATCGCAATTTTACAGATCAATTTTTATTTATTTTTTCTCCCAAGTAGCATTCACAACTCAAGACTCGAGAAAATTGGAATTGTGAAGTTTTGAAGCAATTTTTCTCTCTATGGGTTGTGGTGAACAAACCTGAAACACCAGCCACTATATGTGTACCAAGCAAGGTTTTATTGCAAATGTATGTTGTCATGGAGGGGGCCTGCTTGTCCTGTGAAGTCTTGCACTTGGTGAGTTTTTCAATTTTATTTTATTTTTCTATCATGAAATAATAGCAATTTCTTAGTGGTGATGGTGCATTTTTATCTTCTGTAATTTGTCTCTCTTGATGTTCCTATATTCCATCTTATAAAAAGATAATGATAAACTTTGCCAAACCTTTTGGGTTTATTTCTCCTTTTGTCTCTCGGAGTAAGATTGCTCTAGACAGTAGCCAGCTAAACCATATCGAGTCTCAGTAGAACCCTCAAAGATGGGCGTTAGCTTGAGTCAAGAAAACGAAGAATTTGACAAGCAGTTAGTGTTTTTTGTTGACTCGCCAGTAATCAATTCAGAATACTCTATGAATATGATGCGACACTAAATTTTGTACCTTTTTTATTTCCAGAAAGTTTAATGCAAATTTTTTTAAAAGTTAATGTCAGCTACTCCTGAATAATCTAAGATATTTACACATTTTCACTTCTGAATCTTTCATTCTTTTTCTTCTTCTTAGTTGAATGTTGAAACTGGGCAGCCTAGCCGCCAAAGTATCTGCAGCTCGTTTTTAAATGGGGATCAACACTCTGGAAAAATTATCAGTACAATTATTATGTTAAAGTTTTTACTCCTTTGTTATTGTGTCAGTAGCTTTTTTACAGAAAAAGTTATTTTTCGATTTCATAAGAAGTAAAATGATCTCAAATTTGACTATTATTTATCCGCTTTCTCTTTCTTTTCATCTTTCTGCCTATTTCTTTCCTTAGCCTCTCCTTGGTGGTTATGCTTTCTTCAATGAGCTATCTTAAGTCTATTCAACCATTTTAATTTGAGTTGAACTGTGCTGCAGTTGCCCTTTAAAGGCAGTGCTTTTGTTTTTCAATGGTACAACAAACAGACAAACGAAACAATGCAAACATAATTTCGTTTCCTGTACGAATGGAAGTAGTCACAAGACTGTTTAGAGTTTCTGCCGACGGACTCATTGCGGTTTGAAAACAATGCCATATTCGACTAGCAACTATTCGTGCTCGATGGATGACCATGTTGCATACACACGAAATTGAAGGCGTTTCAATTTACGTTCCTATCTGCCGGCGAACTTCACTGGATACTACTAATAACGCCGCGATGCAACTATTCGTGCTCAATGGATGTCCATGTTGCATACCACAATATTGAAGGCGTTTTAACTTGCGTTGCCTTTTTAGCGGTGCGTGATGTACGAGGACTTTGTGATGGAGGGAGTTGTTGCCAACCTTTGACGGTTGTCACCTGTTGCTATTCAACCATGCCAAAGAAGAGATCTAGATTTAAACACAAAAATTGCATACCTTATTTTTCTGAAGGAAAACTAACGAATATTCAAGCCTAATATTTTTACGAAATAGTCATGACAGCCCAGAATAATCGAAGAAAAATTCAAGTAATCAGGGATTGTTTTGCTTTAAAGAAATAAAAAACGAGTGGAAAGTTGCAACGCAGCGTGTTGATATGTTTTTTCAGAGTTTAGCCGTCGTCTGGTTCTAACCTTTTCAACCGCTAATTGGATCACGTCTAGCAAAAAGGGACTAGCGCGATTACATTGTTTTCAAAATCGTGGCACTTTTTCTTTCTTTTAAAAATACTTAGCACGTGTACGTTATTGAAATTATTTACACAATGATTTTTCTTTAAAATTAGCAATTTTTTTGGTGGTAAGTAAAAACTATTTGCTAATGGGAGATTTTTAAGGTAATTATGAAGAGGCAAATTTTTTACAAGACTGTAATCGCGCCGGGTCTTTTCGCTAAATGCGATCCAATTGTTGCTCAACAAAATACAAAAAACCCTTCAATTCTATGCATTGAAATGTGATAAAAAAATATATGTAGACGGATTTAATGTGAGTAAGAATGGCGGTAAACCGGGGGTCCGCACGCAAAACGACCGTCAGTCCAATTTACCCGAAGCGGAAGGTGTACAAGCGAGGGTCTCTGAAATTCGAGTCGGATGGAAACGAGACACTTGGCGGGAAAATTGGATTGGAAGGCGGGAGCCGACAGAGAGAAAAGTAGCACTCATTTGAGTTAGTTAGCCGGCCCGAAACCTTGAGCTAGATCCTCTTTACGGTTCCGCGAGATGCCGCCAAGAACAGGGGCGGCAGCGGTCACTGGGGAATGAAGATTGAAGACACACCAGGGAAAAGTGCAGGCCGAGATGACACTCATTTATCTCCTCGACTGATCGTGAGCAGCCTTTTTAACACTGTCGCTCCACGGTCAATATTCGCGCTCCGAAGAAGGATACAAGTATTCTGCTAAGAAATAACACTGTAATCAATAGAATTAGCTCTAAGAAACAGAAAGATAGACACTTTGCAATGCATAGAAAAATTGTGACTTATTTCAACAAATGGAGTCCCTTCAATTAGTAGATAGGCAACGTACATAACACTCCGATGCAGTAGCAATAATATCGTGATCACTTGACAAAATTAATGGTACTGCATCGGAGTGTTGTGTATGTTGCCTACCTGCTAATTGAAGGGGCTCCATTTGTTGAAATGAGTCGCAATTATTTTGGGCATTGCAAATTGTCTGTCTTTCTAATTCTATTGATAATTTAAAATTGGCATTTATTGACCAAATGTTGATACTTTTGCCGAAAGATATTGCACATTTATTCCAATATTTTATTTTTCCCGTGTTCCTTTTGAGTCGTGACGCAGATATCAAATGGATGGATGTAATCAAAATCAGCTGAACTGCATTTCACGTTGCCTAATGACCTCTAAAGTTGTATTTTTTTTTTTAAACAAAAATTCTAACAACATAATACGTTAAGGCTTTCTATACATTCCTCCTAGATCATGAATAACTCACTCAGTTTCAAGTCAGGGCCACGATTATTTTTCTGTCGAAAGCATGAAATTTGAAAGGAAATGGACCACTAGACAAAGGTACGAATTTCAGCTTTCTGATACATGTTTCTTCACCAAAATTTCACATAGAACACGATACGCACAACAAATACTACCAAAATCAACTCCTTACGAAGATATTTAATGATTCTTGATGCGTGAATTCATGGACAACCTAACCTTACTTCAGCCAGATCTCAGGCCAAAAACAAGCAAACAAACGAGAAATCGTGAGTATTTCGCACCTCCCGCCGTCGCTGAGTCTGATGATTCTGCTTGGATCGTCATTGTCGCCTATGTATTGAATTATGTAACATTTTTAGTGATATTTTCCCCCGTACTTTATTTGTAGCAAAAAAGGAGTTAATGCTGGTACATTGAGTATATATTTGCACTATTGCAGTATCCTTGCGGTAAAGGTTTGATGAGAGGAAGAAATCCATTTGTTTACATTGGTGGAAAGTGTGTTCTTAAACTCCCGACTGATCGCGGGCAATTTCGTACCAAAATGGCGGCCGATGGATTTCCATCGGTGGATTTAGGCAGATCTACCGATCAAAAAAAGAAAACCTCTATGGTGGGAAATGAACGTTTGCTCGATTGAGAGGCTCGATGAAACCGTTGCGGTGCGCAATTTGACTCGCGTAGAGCTTTGAGTTTCTTGTGAGCGGGTCTTTCAAATTCCTCGTAACCAATGTGAAATAAAAATGTTAATATCTTCTTTAGGAGTTGATATCAGTAATTTTCGTTGCGCGAATCGTATTCCACGTGAAATTCTGGTTAGGAAATATGTATTAGAATGCTTAAAATCGTACCTTGTCTAGTGGTCCATTCGGCAACGTCTGATGTAGTGAGACAGATTCTGGTTAAAAACGGGAAATTCATTCCTTAACAAGCACATTTAAGCTCTGAGCAGTACGCTGCCGTGCTAAGGATAAACGCCGTATGAGCATTCGATAGTTGCCAAATTTCCCCAGATTAATCACGTATTTTTTAGGAAAGATATTCATATTTTTCTCCGAAATTTGCAGGTATTTTAGATCAAATTGCGAACAAAATCGTCTAGAATATTTTGGAGCAAAACATTCGAAAAATTCCCAGTAAAGTCGGTTTCTACAGAGGGGAATTTGTCAACGTCTGAAGGCTCATACGGCGTTTTTCCTTAGCACGGCAGTAAGAAGTATGAGTGAATCCCTGTTGAAATTCCGAGACATTCCCAGGTGGTGCTTCAAGAGCGCGAAAGGATGCAGAATGATGGGTCAAGATCAAAGTTGCGTGATGGGGGTCTAAGGTCATCAATTTCCAAGCGGCCGTCTAATCACTTGTTTATTTACAACAATTACGCCCCCGCTTGTAACGCGCCAACTCCCCCCTCCCGGCGAGCTCCCTTTATCTCACTTTACCTTTTACACTCAACTACCCTTTAAGTCGCCTTTCAAGCTCGCCGCGGCGGCTTCGGCGTCGTCGCGAAGATGAGCTCTAAACAATTACATCCTCACGCCCGGGTCTGGAACTAGGGAAACGGCGCAAATTGAGCTAGGAGAGGACAATTATTTCAAATTGAAATCCCCCGGCCGTCCCTGCCACGTAGCTCTTTGCAGACCTGGGCGCCTCTGCTAAGGACTGGCTCTTTGGTTATGTTAATGTTTAATGTTTATGTGGAGGTTCTCTCGCCGGTTGCCCGGCCCGGTGGTATCAGTGCCAGTGTGGCATGCATGTGGGCGTGGTAATGGTCAACGGCTAATATGTAATGGATCGAACCGGTGGTTCTCAGCGTTCGCATCGCTGCCACCTCTGAGAAGTGCATCCGCCGCAATCCTGCGGGCTGATCGTGGAAATTGATAGACACAGCCATAGACAAAGAGATACAGAGAAAATGGAGTGATCCTAATTGGTTGAAACGGTTGGTCGCGTTATAGACTCAAGGAGAAATGAGAGACGCTAATGGATTGCTGAACACCGACAAAAAAACACTAAAAATGCAATCCGAACTGTAAGTTCAAGGTGGTAAAATAGTGCTGGATCTACAATATTTTTCGGGGAAAGCAAGGCCAAAAATTTCAATTTAAGTCAATTTTTTGAGAGAATAGTTTTTTCTTCCGAGGGAATACTTTTCTCACCGGTGCAGGGCCGGATTTTCTTACTTGCCATCCATGAGCCGCCTGTATTTTGCCGCCTTCTTCTCATTCGTTTTGAAACATCAATAAAAACCACCAAGTGAACGTGCCGGAGGGGGGGGGGTGCATAAGACGCGTTTGTTGGATATATATTTTTTGCGAACGCCTTGTCAACACCACTAGCAAAAGTTCACGGAACTTGGCACAAAAGTTAAGTTCCGTAAACCTATCTCTGTGTGGACAAGGTATATTTAATGAAATGAACGAAAAAATTATGAAAGAACGAACATAAATGTGGTCTAATAATTTAACTTTCGCCGCCGCGATGCGCTGACCGCACAGTGTTTGGCGCAATGCGTAAAGTATTCCTACCACGCCGACCGCTGCTGCATGCACTGTGTTTGGCGCAAAGCGTGAAGTATTCATGCAGTCTTGTAGGCGCTATGCGTTTCACGCCGCCCGCTGCTGGCCGCAGTGACCGCACTGTCTTTTGACGCAATGCGTGAAGTTTTCATGCAATCTTGTAGGCGCTAATATGTGTTACATGCCGACCGCCGCGCCGCGCCGAGGGTTTCTCCTTTTCATCTCGTTCCTTCCTGCTTCGTTCATTTTTCTTCTCTATTAGCAGGATATATTCTTCATGAATGTGAAGTCGTAAATTTGACCTATTTCTCTTCGAATAAATAAAATAGGAGCGGAAATTCTGAAACACTGCAATGGAGGTACGTAGTTTCGCACTTTGGTCATTGATATCGCAATACAATTGTAACGTTTTAAATTACTGCAAAATGTGCACATTCATTCAGAGGGCAAATAAATCAATAATTGGACTCGAAATTTGATAAGATCTTGATTCACTATTCTATGGTCACCCTTTAAAAATGTCCAACATAATGTTTGGTTTGTTTTCCATCCAAAAAAATGAATTATCCGGGGAAAGTTTGAACTTTTGCGATTGAAGATACCTAGTTTCGAAGCACAGCCAACGAAATGGTTTTCTTCTTTTATGCCCAGGGTTTCCAAGAGCCGTTAATCGAACATACGGTTTTTACATTCCCATTTGCCAACAAAAAATGTTTGACAGGCTGAAGAGGAATCTCAACCACTTAAGCCAGAATCGACAAAATGCAGGCTTATTCTTCTGACAAGTTGAGACGCACTGAGTGGCTGTCCCGTGACTGTGTGGTGGAGCAATGTTCATTTTCAGTGATGCCATGGTATTTCAGCTGTTGCGGTTTTTTGCTTCAGGACGAAAATTTTGAAACTATATGAGCAAACTCCGGATAACTATGTAAAAACACATCAGGAATCCCTATAATGCGCACTAAGGGTGATTATTGAGTATGAATTGAGTACGAGTATCTTAAAAATAATAAACCGATACCTTATTTTTACGAACGTTTAAGATGCTGACTAATCGAATGTATCAATAGCCAAGTGCAAAACCACGTATCTCCATCGCTGTTTTTCAAAATTTCCGCTCCTATTTTATTATTTTAAGAAGAAGCAAGCCAACTTTACAGCTTGAAATTCATACAAAACTAGGGGGCTACTCCCCCTGGCCGCTACGCGGCCCAACCCCCTGAAGGCGCTCCGCGCCATCAATGGGCCGCTTCGCGGCCCTATTTTTACCCTCCTATCGGTGTTAGTTTTATTTTTCCCCTAAAAAATTACGATATGAGGTATACTTTAATTTTAAACATTACTTAAAATTACTTTAAAATTAAAAGGACGCGTTTTGGAATGACTGCTTGATGAAATATTGCAGTAAAACAATGCACAGTGATAGCTGCTTGATGAAATATTGCAGTAAAACAATGCACAGTGATAGAGTCACAGGTAATCATTAAGACTTCATGGGTCGGGGATCGAACCCACACCGAGTTCAAAATGGAAGCATTCGACGTCTTAGACGACTCGACCACCGCTCGACGTGTGGACATTGGCGCGAATCTTGTGTATATAAGTGTAGAGCTGATGCGCAGGCTACACAGCTACTGCGGAACCTCCTCGACCACTGCGCATCCTCCCGCGCATAGCGGTAGCAGTACCGGAGCATTCTGTAAACTCACTCACTTTTATAACGTGATTTTAAAAAAAACCTGGGTCCTTTTTCCAAAATCTGATTGCAGCGGGCTCATCTAGGGCCTATTACCTGTCGATTTACGCAAAAATCATGGAAATCGGCCCGGTAGAACGCTCAAACGAACTATGACAAAAAGTATAAATTTACATTGTTTAAATGGGAGAATTCGCAACTTTACCACGTAATATAAAAAAACCTGGGCCATATTTTGAAAATCTAAAAAGAGTTGGCTTATCTAGAGACAATTGCCCGTCGATTGCCGCAAAAATCATGAAAATCGGCCCGGTAGAACGCTGGAACTAAGCGTCACCAGTTTCGCAAAATTAGGAGGTCTCGGAGCTTATAGTATAGATTTCGCAAAATTAGGAGGTCTCGGAGCTTATAGTATAGATAGTCTGCCACAGAGAAAAAAAAATCAAGGAAGCTCTCAAGAAACTAAATTGACTCGTTCTCCAAAGAAAACATACGGTATGACCGGAGGTCGCAAACGGAGGCACGTGGTTTCGCACTTCAACCATTGCTATGAACGAGCTGACTTTTGAAATTGATAGACAAAGCTATAGACACAGAAGACAAAAGCTATATGGAGGCATCCTATTGGTGGAAGCGGTTGGTAGCAATGGACTAAGAATGTAGATAATAGACTAACCAATGGCAACTTACGAGGACCCTATAGTTAGTCCAGCATTTTCTCCCGCAGTCCATAGGAACCAACCATTTCAACCATTAGGATCGCTCCATACTCGCTATGTCTTCGTTGTCTATCGCGAAGTGAAGTTACACTGGAAAAAAAAACACATTGGATCTAGAGTCCAGACTCTTGAAAACATTGACAGGAAAAAGTACTCTTGATTCAATAGGATTTTTGCTTGGATCAAAACAAAATCCGCTTAAATTAAGAGGCTTGGTTCTTGATTTAAGCTAAATTCTGATTGAATCAAGAGTACTTTTTCTTGTCGATGTTTTTAAGAGTCTGGACTCTAGAACCAATGTGTTTTTTTTTTCCAGGGTACGTCCTTATCATCGCTTTTTTGGCATAAGAGCGTATCTAAATCTCCATACGAGCCCTGTTTTATATATAAATCCATGCTTTCCAGGGCTCATACAGAAATCGAGATACGCCCGCACGCTATAAGAGCGATGTTATGTTGGGAGGACGACGACTGTACCGCGACTTCCATAAACTTTGATGCACCAGGTGACGTCACTATCCACCGACCAGCTTTTTTTCTGAATGGGTGGACCTGAACTTGGGTCCAGCGGGCGGCCCTACTCCTATGACATGACGGCCCGACCCCTCCCCTGCCGATATTCCAAAAGCCTCGGCGACGCTTATCCTCTGTCCCGAGTCCTCATCGGTCCTCAGTTCTCAGTCCGTCTTGTCCGGTCCGGTCGCCAGTCCTCTCCGGTCCTCGCCCGAGTCCGGTCTGACACGGTCCGCGATCGCGTCGTGTCCCTTTGAATTTCGCGCGCTTTTCCCGACCCCCCATGAGTCCCTCTCCGCCCCTGCGCCCTGTGTCTTCGCCTTTCGTCTATGACTCACGATGAATCAGCCTGCGTTCTCGTTAGTTTCCCGGTTTGAAATCTCTTCCATTTCGTAATGTGTTGTTCCGAGTTTTATCTCCGGATTAAGAGGGTGGCAGGTTTCGATGAAGTTAGGAATAATTCTAAAAATCAGGAAAATTAATTTTTGGACCTTTCCGTTTCAGGAATAAGTCCTGTATTGCATTTTAAGAACACCTAAAAACTGGCTAGGTTGGCTCAGTATTCAGAGTATCAGGTTTTAGATTAGCAGGTCCTGGGTTCAAATCCCTGTAGTGGTGACGAATTTATGGGGGAATTATAAGGGGAAATTATAAGGGAAAGTTTATGAAGGTCTGATAATTTTGCCAGCTCCTAAAAAGTCAGATATAGTTAGTAAATTTCGATGCGGAGCTTTGAAATGTTTTTTCTAGTCAAAAGATTGCTGTTTGTATTGAAATTCAAGAGACTTTGCGCCAGAACTTGTTTGTGGAGATGATTTTTATGAAGAATGGCAAATGACCAAAAACAAAACAAAACCCTTGAAAAGGCAGGGAAAAGTCGGGAGTTTTATGTTCAAGAGCTCTGAAAAGTCAGAGAATTTTGAAATCCAAGAAAATTTGTCACCCTTTCGCGGAACTAACGATTGAATCTGCCGGAACAAATTACTCTGCCTCAATCCCTGATAATTTGGAAAACTTAGAGCATGGACGCGCCTATCTCCTGATGTCTAACGACAGTGAATAGAGTCCATACATGGCTGTAAATTTCTAACTGGATATAAGTCACTAAACCAGCTGGGGAAAAACCAGAAAAAAAAATGTCTTTGTAGAAACAATCTTGCATCTACGTAAAAACTCAAAACATATAAGCTCTTCAGACTCTTAATGATAGGCAAATTCTCATACTTTCAGTCATTTGAATGATCTCAAAGAGGAATCCAGGAGATGCCTCTCACACTATAGGAAAGAAAAAGGGGAGGTCCTGAGATATTTTGGGGCACCTTGAGTTAGCGCCCCATGCGCGATTGCATACTTGATCCCCGCTTGCTCACAGATCAAAGAAAAATTTGAAACTTAGCATTACAATTTTCATAAACGAAACCTCTCGCCCTTTTGAAATCCTGGGAATGTTTAAAGTACTAATAGTTTTGAGGCAAACTGTGGTTGCTTATAAATCGTCTTTTTACTTTTGTTTCGCATATTTAGTCCGAACTCGAACGAAAACCTGTTGAAAATGGGAAAGTCCGGTAAAAGTTGATATAAACTGAACATTCGAATAAAATCGAATCAAACTAGATCAATTTAATTAAAATATGTTTCAATTGTGTCATCGACGCCAGTCGAAATTCCTCCAATGCATCTCATTAGTACTTCTACTCTCGGAGTTAAGCTTTCAATTTGGGGCAGCGCAGAATCCTCAAATAGACAAAAATCAGCCCACACCAGTCGGAGGGTGAGTATTTCGTCTTCGTTTTTGTCTATTTAACAGTTATTTGTGACATTTTTCCAATGGCTTTGAAAAATTTAAGGAGGAAACCTCATCAGTGCTTTTTATAGAGTGACTAAAGAAGGTGACTGCGATCGAGGAAACTTTATAAAGAACCAAGAACTTTAATTCAACAGTTGGCTGGTGCATACAAGTGCTCTTTATTAAAAATTAGCTGTCAGCCTACCCACTCGTTTTTGGCCAACATAGATCAGCAGAAATTCTACTCATTACATTAGGGTATTTTACTGCCATCGGTAGGGAAATTCTACTCATATACAAGTAAACTTGTTTTCTTTTTTTTCAAATTTCGTGAAGAACTAGCTCTAATCAAGGAAAGTTTTAAAGTTATGCAAAAAATATAGGCCTTCTTTATCCCAATTTTCCTGTCCGAGTCCCTCCCTTCCAGTTCAGTGGAGAAGGGTAAATGATTGATTGTGGTAAAGCATCCATTATTAAGGTGTTCGTTGTGAACACCCTGTTTATCGATCCTTTTCCATAGGTTCAAATGATAATCGATTCATCACAAAGCACGCCACGCCACTGTTCCAGTTTTGTATGCATCTCTCGTAATGATAATGTTATTAGTAGTCCTACTTTATTTAGTCGAGTCATTTGTAATTTTTGTGCGGTTTTGAGAGCGGAACTTTTTTCTCGTCTATAGAAGGTCCTAAACGAGAATCCAAATTTATTTCCGAGAAAGAAAGTTCTGCTCTCAAAGGTTGCGATACTAGCCGAAAATAACGAGAGATAATATCCAATTTTGAACAGTTTTTTTTTCGATTTTGGGGGATTCCTATAATTTGTCGAGGGGTAAAATTTGGATTCTCATTTAGGACCCTCTATAGATGAGAAATCAAATGAGGAAGAAATTTCCGCTCTCCAAACCGCGTAAGGGCCATTTTACCCTCTAAGTGATTGGACCAATCAAGTACATTGGTCCTTCTTTCAAAGAGCTCCATGTGGAAATTTGTTAACTTAACGCTGACCGTACCACACAATAAAAAGCAATGTCCAATATCGATTATGCTCAACATGAGATTGAAGCTGGTTTTCCCGGCGGTTTGCCGTTACGGCATTACTGCCATGCTAAGGAAGAACGCCGTATGAGCCTTCAGACGTTGTCAAGTTTCCTTCGATAAAAACCGAATTTACTGGAAAAATTGTGAATATTTTTCTCCAAAATTTCCAGACCATTTTGCACGCAATTTAATCTAAAATATCTGAAACTTTAAAAGAAAAACGTACAAGATCGTCGTCAAAAATACATGTTTTGTCATGTGAAATTTGGCAACTCTCGAATGTACATACGGCGTTCTTCCGCAGCACGGCAGATTACAGCCTCGGCGCCGCACTATGGTCCGAATAGCCGGTTTAAGCGGCAATAAATCGAAAAAGTGAAGTTTGGAAAAAGTTAGATTTTAAGAGGTAGATCGATAGTACATACTGTAGAGAAGACTCCTGTAAAATTTCACTTCGATTAAAGCACTAATAAAGATGTGACAAGCCTGGGAAGTGCGGCGCGCAGAGCACTTTATGAGTGCGATTCCAGTTACCGAGCGGCAGTGCTGTGTTTAAGGGCTTGTTTTCGTCGTTTCACCGTACCTG